TATTGACATTCCGGTTCCAATGCTCTTTTTTCGAAATGTGCACCAACCAATTGTATACAAATATTGGATTAGTTGACTTCGGTTGTTCTGTACCAAATTTTTGCCATTTGACCGGGATATTAAAATGAAATAGGGAAATGAAGCAATGTTTATTAATTTGATTGACTAAGCATTTTTATGAGATTAATAGCGCCTGAATTCAGGCGCTTACAAATTTCTGTGGATCGGCCAATATTGAATTTTGAAGAATATTTCAAGTTCCCGTCATAAAGAGGAGCAACGAAGTCCTCGTGTATCACTAATTAGTACCAAACGATAACATTGAAAATCAGGGACATCAATCCCTAATTTATTTTGTCATCAAATTCAAAGTACTGATAGCATTGTCAGCTTCTACCAATCAGATGGAATTCTTGAAGCAGGGGGCACGAAATAAAACTGTCGAAACATGAAGATGTAACGGAAGCAAAGCTTTCATAGTCTCTCTACAATTGGTATAACACGCATGTCTAAAATCAGAGTACCTAAGAAAATCACTATTAATTAATAAAGATAAAAAGAGCGGGAATAATAAAATAAATTATTTAATTGGGAATAAATTTCCGTTAGGATTTGCTAATACGGTGATAGTCAGGTGAGGGGAAGGCTGAATACGAACTGACTGAATGCGAGTAAATCAATGAACCGAAGTGACAAGTCCGCATGTACTCGATAGGTATGATATAGGTTTCCTTTAGGAAGGGAATCAGCGGTGCTTGACAGTGGAAAATGTTTTGAACGGTAGGATTGTAAGCCGAATGGAACAGAGCCTGTGATAAGCAAACCGTGCATAGGGTGTCCGCAATCTATTCCCCACATAGGATAGAAGTTAAAGTAAATGGTCTTGAACGATGCCAATCATTGACCTTGGAATATATTCACTGCTTTTTTGGTAACGTGCCTTTTTAATGGGGTTTAATCAGCTAAGCAAAAATTTGTAATTTGTTTAGCCCCCGGGATAAATAAGTAGGTATTACTTTTGGCATCTTACAACCTGCACGGTAACCTAAACCCCGGGATATGGACAACAGCAAAGCTACCTACTACAAAATTTTGGTAGCGGTGGCAGGGCTCAAACCTCGAACCATACGGTTCAAATTGCGTCGGTGACAAGAATTAAACCACTGTAACACCACCATCTCAGGAGCCGTTATACTTTACGGCTCTAAAGGTCCATATAAATGAGAGCAGTTTTCAGCAGGTGCAGCAAAAGCTGCTTCTAGGTAAGTCAACAATTTTGGTGAAATCCGCCCGGTCTTTTGTACGTTTCTCTTCTTACAAATTGTACTGCACATTCAAATTACTTGTCCATCGTCAATGAAATTGCTCGATGTGTGTTGTTTTGTAATAACACATGGTGAGTAATACGTCCTGTGTTGTCAAAACTGTTGTTTCGTTTTCCTCTGATCCGTCGCTTTCCTTATTTCTTTACGGTGTCACTTGTTCTTCTTTAACATTCTTGTATTATATAACCCAGGAAAATGTATGACAAACAGTACTACCGATTAACCTGGTGCAGTTTATATGTCAGTTTCGTTGATAAGAAACATTGTGGTTAAGTCTGATCAATATCATCATGTTGAAACAAAAATAGTGCTGTTTTTCTGCAATTTACAATTGATGAACAGTTTTCTCCTTGCATGAAAAGCGATTATCCTTTAACTTCTTCAGGCGTAAACAAAAATGGAAACATAATTGCAATGGTGAGCTGATGGATTGCAGAGATAATTGATTCATCTACCCAATCAACATCTAGGTTTTTCAGGGTCACTGTGAGAAAAGTCAAAAAGACCTGGTGATAACAACGACTTTAAGAGGGTTTTATAAACCAAACATGCCATCGTATCAATTGGAAGTCTAAACTGAGACTGTTGATCAGGATAGCTGCAAGTAATGATCTAAATAAGTTGATCTTGCACAAGCTTTTCTCGAATTACCTTTACTAACATAAAACTCTCTTACTCGAAAGCACGAATCCTATGAGGAGACAACGATTTGACAATTACTTCCGGTTCATGTTGTCCACGTTTGGTCGTGGACGACGACAGAATAGTGTACGTTATTTGCTAATTCTGTGCACCTGATTGTTCGTGGGTTTTATTCACACTTGTGTGGGTGCACGATTACTGGTGAACTTACGGTAACCGACCAGTGCATGGACGATAGTCACTCTCTGCTCTCCCTCTCTGTGTAGTGGTCACTTATTCACAGAAGTGTACAATCTGTCATCAAGACGTTTCACACGGGACACTACAACTTCACTACTCCTCGACAAACACACCATTCAATCTGCCCGCTTGCCCATCTTCTTCCCCCATATTGCAGGATTTAAGATTAGTTCAAATCAATGCAGATCAACG